TGATCCTGCCTGTCCCCTCGGCTGCCCCACTGGCCCATCCTGGCCGTTTTATTTCCTTCAGCCCCCAGTAGGTGCATGCATGAGTGTGTTCTGTGTCTTACCTGGGCTTCCTTCCTGCCTGGCTTCTCTGGCCCAGTTCGGCCTCTCCTCCTTATACATCTCCTGGCCCCACCCCTCAGAATGTCGTCTCATGAAGGTGATGCACCACAGCATCTCTCCATCCATCCAGCTAGCTACCCATTCAGCCACCCCGCCAGCTAGCTATCCACCATTCACCTCTCCATCCATCTCATGGTTCGTCCATCTGTCTACCCAACTCACCTGCCAACCAATAATTCATCTATCCAGATAGATGTCCAGTCAGTTAACTATCCAACCATTCACTCATCCATCTAACCACCCATCTATCTATCCAGCCAACCAGCCAACCAATAGCCTTCTATCCAGACCATCAGATATCCATTTATTATATCCATCAATTCCTCCATCCGTCCATCTACCCATCCAACCATCCATCCATCCCACCCTTTCATTCAACTACCCACCCATCTATCCATCCATCCATTTATCCACCTGTCTATCATTCATCAACAAACATATGGGCACTGACTCTGCCCAACCCAACACAGCCCAGGGCAGCCTGGTGATGGTGGGCTGCTATTTTGAACTCAGAAATGCCTGGGTTCAAATCCCAACTCTTCCTCATCCCGGCTGACTTGATGTTGGTAAAGTTACTGTATCTCTCTGGGCCTCTGTTTCCCCTCCTCTAGAAAGGGAGGACTTTGCAGAGGTTTCGAGGAGAGAAAATGAAAAGCACAGTGAGCTCAGCACTACACCAGGCAGATAGGAAGTGGCTGATACATGTGAGATTTTATTACTTGGGCCATGAGCATATAAAAGTGGGTCAGATACAGGCTCTGCCCTCACAGAACCATACTCTGGAGCTGGGATGAGCACACTTTTTCCATAAAAGGTTAGATGGTGCTGTAAATATTTTTGGCTTTGCAGGCCATGTGGTCTCTGATGCAACTACTGAGCTCTGCAGTGGTAGTGTGATGGAAGCCATAGGTGATGCATGCGTGACTGGACATGACTGTGTGCCAATAAAACTTTATTTATAAAATCTAGCTGGGAGCTGAATTTGACCCGTGGGCCATGGGAAAATGCAAGTAAAGTAATTACAACACAACAAGGCACAGATAAAGAGAGCAGAACCATCAAAATCCTCGAGTTGAATCTACAAAGAATCCAACACAGCCCTCTACTGCCAGGCCGAAAGAGTAGGAAAACTGGGTGGAAGTAGCACAGAGATACACGCGAGGATGGTGCTCTGGGGGCTCAAGGGTGGAAGGCATTGACAGGCAGGCTGGAAAGGGTTTTGAGTGTCATTCTAAGCCAGGTGTGGTGGTCCAAACCTGTAACCCGAGCACAGCAGAGGCTGAGGCAGGAGGATATGGCAAATTCAAGACCAGCCTGAGCTACATAGCAAGACCCTGTCTCAAACAAACAAAATCAAATGTCACTCTAAGGGGACTAGAATCTATAGTGTAAGGGAGCCATGAAAAGAGAGTGACCGTTAAACTATGATGCCAGGGAGACACACCCACTCCAGGGCACATGGACCAGGCAGGAGAGACAGTGGCTGAGGTCAGTGACAATGGCTGGCATTTGTACAGGACAATTGTTGTTGGCAATTGATGGAGCCCAGTTTACGACCCTGGGATCTGGGCTCAGCCTGAGAGAGCAAAGAAGGACTCAGTCTATGAAACTAGGTCAGGGCTCAGGATGTGACCACAGGATTGGGGCTCAGCCTCAGGCATAGGGACCAGGGCTCAGTCAATGACACCAGATAAGGACTCAGTCTATGACACCAAGGTTTATAGTCTGTGGGGAGAGCGGTAATGGGGACTAAAACTAAGGGAAGGACAAAGTAAAGAAGAAACGGGGTAAAGAAGTGTGGAGGTGACTTTGACAAAATTTGGTGTCCTGTGGGGTGGGAAGGAGGCAAGACTGGTCTCTGGATTTCCTGCCTGCTTACTTGGAGGACAGGGGAGTCACAGCAATAAAGGGATGAGGAGGAGGAGGGGGGACATGACAAGGTGGTCTCCACAGCTCCAGGTTGGACTGTCCATGAGAATATCAGGCAGCAATGACCAGGGGTCACTGGAGACAAAATCTGGAGCTTTAGGAGAGAGAATTCATGCTCAGTATCAGAGTTTGATGTATGACATCAGGATCGGGGCTCAGTCTGTGTCTGGGATCAGGGTTCAGTCCATGTCTGAGATTAGGGCTCAGTCCATGTCTGAGATCAGAGATCAGTTCATGTCTAAGATCAGGGCTCAGTGTGTCTGGGATCAAGGCTCAGGCTATGTCTGAGACCAGGGCTCAGGCTGTGTCTGAGATCAAGGTTCAGTATATGATGAGAGTTGAGATTCAGCTTGTGGCACCAGGAGGGGAGCTAAGTCTATAACTCCGGGATTGGGGCTCAGCCTATGACACTGGGTGTGGGGCTCAACCTGACTGTAAGATAGAGCATGGTGTATGACACCAAGGTACAGGCTCAGTATATGACACCAGGATCGGGGCTCAACTATGACAGAAGAATGAAGTTCCATCTATGACACCTGGATTGAGACTCAGTTCATGACACAAAGATTTGGGGTCAGTCTACAAAACACGGATCGGAGTCGAGCCTGTCATCAAATGAAGTCTTCTTGTTCCTAGGTCCTAATCTTCCATAAAAAGACAACCATCCCTGCCCTTTCACCTTTAGCCTTTGGGTCCTCAACCTTCAGGATTCACCACTACATGGCCGGAGGTTCCACCTTCATCCTCTGCAGGATTTGGGAAACCTCGACCCTCCTCCAGGCCCCTGCCAGGGTAGCAGACAGATGTCTGCTGATGCCTATTCTGATGGCCCCTGTGGTGCACCCCTCCCCTCCCAAGCTCCCATCAGCCTCCAGCACTCACCCCTACACCCCAAGCCTGGAACTGGGGCCCAGGCTCCATATGCAGCTGCCCCAGTGATAGCCTTGCCAGGGATCCCAAGGATGCTTTCTTGGTAACAGCTTTATTGAGATACATATAATTCACACAGCACACAATGCATTCATTTAATGTATTCAAACCAGTGGTTCTCAGCATATTCCCAGAGTTGTGCAACCACAACCACATCAACTTTAAAATATTTTCATTGCCTGAAAAGGAAGCTCACATCACCCTCACAACCTCCATTTCCCCCAGCCCCTGGCAACCACTAACCTACTCCCTGTCTTCTGTAGATTTTACCTATTTTGAACACTTCATAAGAACGGAATTAGGTAACATGGAGTCCTTGTGACTGGCTGCTCTGACTTAATGTGTTTTCAAGGTTCATCCATGTTGTCATGTGTGCAGAATACCCCCTTTGCATGGCTTAATAATCCTCCACGGTGTGGATATACCGCAGTTTGTGTGCCCATTCATCCACTGGTGGGCATCTGAGGTGTCTCCACCCAGCTGTGGTGGACAATGCTGCCATGAGTAGTCAAAGGCAAGTCTTGGGGTGAATGAATGTTTTCCATTCTCTTAGGCAGGTAACTAGGAGTTAGAACGCAGGGTCATGTGCTAACTTCCTACATTAACTTTTTGAGGAATTTCCAGGCAGTTTTCCAATTTCTGTTATTTTTGTACACATACATGTGTGCACATGGCTCCTTTTCTTTCATCTATTTATAGAGTGTGTTTATTTCTCCCTTGACTATTTTCTGCTGTCCTCAATACCTCCCAAATGCTCCAGCTCTTCAGTATTCATAATGTTACATTCTTTCGTATGTGTATGTGTACACGTGTGTGTGTGTGTGTGTGTGTGTGTGTGTGGTCCTGGGGATTGTACCCAGGGCCCTTGCACTGAGTTACATCCTCAGGCTTTTATTTATTTATTTATTTGGAGACGGGATCTTTCTAAGTCACTAAGTTGTCCAGGCAGGACTCAAACTTGTGATCCTCCCACCTCAGCTTCCCCGAGTGCTGGGATCACATATATTCTTTTTCTTCAAGAAGAAGCCCCCCCCCCAAAAAAATTGTATATGCTTCAAGCCCCCAAAATCTGGAGCAGTGTTTGTAACATACCCAGCTGGGCGAGCAAGAACATGAAGTGTGCTCGGACAAGCCTGCCCAGTCCCCTTTCCTCGGCTTATCTCTGGCTGGGACAGAGAGAGACAGTGCTACCCTCTCCCCACTGTTAGCTACACCGGCTACAGGCAGGGAGGCCTCAGCCCACACACTTTGGAGAGGGAAGCCCAGGGTGCTGGAAGTAAATTAATGCCCTGGCTCAGCAGTGTAAACTACGACTGTCCCCAGGTCACTGGGAGTGGGGTCAACAGAGCCACAGGGAGCCCAAGCTATGGAATGAACAGGAGCCTAACCAGGTACAACGGTTCAGACCATGATCTACCCCAAACTGGCCAGCGCTCAGAGGCGGGAGTTTGGAAGGTGACTGGATCATGGGATGCTGTGCATACGTGCCGATTCCTTCCTCGATGAATCCAAGGCTGGGGGTGCTGTCAGGAGGCGGGGCCTGATTGGAAGAGGGGAAGCGTGGTCACCGCGGGCGTGGCCTGGAAGGGCGCAGCTCCTCCCTCTGTCTCTGCTTCCGGCCAACGTGATGAGAGCCCCCTCTGCCATGCGCCCTGACTACCCTGTGAGCTAAAATAAACCTCTTCTCCTTCAAGTTGTGCGTGTTACAACCTTGTGTCTCAGCAATGAGGAGAGTGACCAAGACACGCAGCACTTTCTAAAGGCGGCTTTCGGCGCACTCAACACCCCGTGTCTTTCTCACCTCAGGCGACTGCTGCTCTTCCTATGAGGCGTTGGCCCCCACAGGTGTCTCCGCCAAGGGTTCATCCCGCCCCTGCACCTCCACCCACCTCCTCAAGCCTCACCCCAGGCCATTCTCTCCATCCCTTCTCTCTGTGTTCAGGTCCTGGCTTCATCTGACACTTTGCCCCCTTTCTCCACAGGTTCGGAGTCCAAGTCATGTGCCCAGCCCTTCGATTCTGGAGTTACAGCCTTGGCCACCAAGAGTAGCTGTGGACCCTGGAGACCTGAGGATCCAGGTTTCTTCTCCACCATGCAGGACCAGCAGGCAGGTGTTAGCCAGGTGCAGAGGACAACAGTGGCAGCAAGTACACTTTGTTTAGCGCCTGCATTTTACCAGACACTTTATAGACATTATCTTAGGGAGGCCTCCTCAAGATGCAGCAAAGTAGATATAACCTAGTTTTACAAATGAGGAAAGTGGAATCCTTTCTGGAGAAGAAGAGGGAGGGAAGGATGGATGGATGGACGGATGGATGAGATGGGATGGAATGGGATGAATGGATGGGATGGATAGATGGATGGATGGATGGTTGGGACTGATAGATGGATGCATAGATGGATGGATGAATGGATGAATGGCTTTCAACTCACAGAAATCCTCCTGCCTCAGCTTCCCAAGTGCTGAGACTACAGGTATGCCCCACTACACTCAGCAAGATGTGGGGTTAAAACACACACACACACACACACACACA